ACCAAAGGAATGTCCACACCTTGTCCTTGGGCCAGGGCTGAGGGATAGGAGAGGTAGACCTTTGTCACCCTTGAAGAAGCTGAGGGGCACTATCACTCAGAGGCAAAGCCTGGAACCGTGAGCTAAATTGGCTTAGATTTGTGTCTCCGAAAGTGCTGGACAAATGAGAGCTGATTTTAGGTGGCAGGTGTATGGGACTTTAAATGATCTTGAATCCCATAGTAACATAAGATTATGTTTCCAACTGTCTTTCAATTCTTCTGATTACATAAAGGGCAAAGTCTCCGTTTGATGCTCTGTCTTTAACATTTTTCTCATCTTGTTTTTTAAATAAAAAAAAGACCAGGCCTGAGTCTTGGGCCTTTAGAAGGTAACAGTATACGGTTTCCATTTAATAACATTGTTTCATTTTTTATTGTTTTGTTCTTATGATAACTTTTGATTGATGGCATTTTAAAGGTCGGATATAAAGTTTTATTTTAAGACAATGGGTTAAGATTTTTTTTTACTTTTTTTTAAAGGTTATTTATTGATTTTGAAACAGAGAGAGAGAGAGTGAGAACTAGCAGGGGAGAGCAGAGAGAGGAAGAGAGAGAATCCCAGGCAAGTTCCTCACTGGCAGCATAGATCCTGATGCAGGACTCTAACTCATGAACTGTGAGACCATGACCTGAGCCTAAACCAAGAATCAGATGCTTAACTGACTGAGCCACTGAGGCGCCCCAAGATTTTTTTTTTACTATTAGTAAATGATGTTTGTGGTTGTGGCAAAACTCACCTGCATGGCATCTGAGCGCTACAGCCTGGGATGCACTGGTTTCAGTGGACCAGCAGGAAACTGGAGGAAGATTGGTTTCTCCCAAACTCACAGATGTGATTCCCAGTCATTCCTCTGCCCTCACCAACTGGGTGCTTAGCTCACTTGAGCTTCAGTTTTCTCATCTGTAAAGTGGGTGTTACGAGCAGCTGTAGGAAAGCGGGCTTCTTCTGTTTCCTAAGACCCAGACGCTGACCTCTTGGTGGAGCCTCAGGAAGTCAGGTTCTCTTCCTTCGAGGTTAGTTGCGTCCTGTTTCCTTTATGCAGAGGCTCTGAGTTTGCCGCTGGGTGGGAGAAAAAGTGAGTCACAGTTCATCACCCCTGCAGCCTGGAGGAGAAGTGTGCTCCCGAGGCCAGAGAATCAAGCAAACCCATCTGGCCAAGATGGCTCAGCAGCATGAAGGCCGAAGATTTGTGCACAGGCAGGCTTTCCCTTCTCAGGCAACAAATCTTTGGCAATCGGAGGCAGGCTCTGGATTAAGCTTAATTAAAATTCAGTCTTAATTAGGGCCATTACTTAAAATCAACTCTATGTAATGAAGCTGTGTAATCATAATTAAGCCCAGAAATGGAATTAGGAAGCACAGAATGTTAAAGCCAAACACAGATGGGCCCAGGGCCTATGAGGACAGAGACAGGACTTCTGGATTCAACAGAATTTCAAATAGCTAAGGACCAATGATTGCATTGATGCGAACCTTGATGGCCATCAGGACAATGAACTAATCAGAAAGAGGATTCGGGATACATGGGACCCCAAGATGCAAAGCTTGTGTGACATTACAGGCAAGAGGATGGGGCAGCATCAGGCAGAGGGGACCAATGTATGTTGAGGAGAAACAGGGGCACTTAGCAACATTTTACATTGACAACTTCCTCTGTATCCAGCACCGTTCTGTTGTGTGTGTGTGTTTTTAAATGTATGAGCTAATTTTATTTTCACGATCACTCTGTGAATGGGTATTATTATTTTCTCCAACTTACAGATAAGGAGTCTGAGGCTCAGAGAGGTTAAGTAACTTGCCAAGGTCATGCCACAAGTAAGTGGCAAATACTAAAGGTTGCACAAATGGTACTTATTATTATAAAGGTACTATCTGTCTGTTTAACTCTGTTGGTCAGAGTTAGTAAAACCTACAAACAACACATGTGCAGAAGCTATACCTAAGTCCCAAGTGAGGTCACTTACCCATGATTGTCCCCAGATCCAAAGCCTATGCCTCTATTTTATTTTTTTTAAGTTTATTCATTATTTTTTAAGTTTATTTATTTGAGAGAGAGAGAGAGAGAGGCAGAGAGAGGGAGAGAGAAAATTCCAATGTCCACGCTGATAGTACAGAGTCCAATGCAGGGCTTGATCCCATGAATTGTGAGATCATGGCCTGAGACGAAATCAAGAGTTGGATGCTTAACTGACTGAGCCACCCACGTGCCCCAAGCCTATGCCTCTAACACTGTCAGGATAGGTCAGGCATTTAGGTTCAAAGAGGAAGGTACTATCAGGTACTAATTCCAGAACTGCAGAGCTGGAGGGGGAAGAGAAAGGAAGAGAGAGTTCCATCTGATACTTGTTTTTTGGCTTAGCATTTTAGTTTTCCTTGCTCAGGAGACCCTGGGAATTATACTCAGGAGTGGAAAGGGGATGTTCGAGCACCGGTAGCTTTCCCTCCCTCCCTGAGCTCCCTATTGTTCAGAGCATTGCTCATGTCTCATACCTCTTACGCCATCATCTATCTGTCTATCTATCTATCTATCTACCACTCTTATACCGTGTGTGTGTGTATGCACACAAATACCATGCTGTCCCAGAAATACTGTCCAGTCTAGGGTGCCCTCTCAGACTCTTGTTTTTGCTCTCAATCAAGTCAGACCAGCAGGAAGGACTTCTCCATGCCCAGATTTAGAACCAGATATGCCATTGGTGCTGGAAATGTCCTGTGGTTCATGTTTCCCAAACAGCCTCAGGCCCACCCAGAGATTCCTCTCAGTGTCACTCACTCCACAGTGCTCACCTCCAGTGATGGGGACATCACTACTTACTGAGTTAAATCCTTCAGTTCTGGAAGATAGTGTAGAAGGGACATTTGGCTTAGGCCTAGGCCTAACGATCATGAAGGCCTTCCAATTCCAGACTTTTGATATCATCTCTAAATGAGTGATACACACAATCCATATGTGGAAATATTCGTTTGTTAAATGCAAATGTTTCAGTCATATCACATTTTATTTTATTTTTTTTTGCAAGGATGTGTTAGCCTTCCCCATTTTTTTATATACCAGGAACCTGATTGTCAGGGGCGCCTGGGTGGCGCAGTCGGTTAAGCGTCCGACTTCAGCCAGGTCACGATCTCGCGGTCCGTGAGTTCGAGCCCCGCGTCAGGCTCTGGGCTGATGGCTCGGAGCCTGGAGCCTGTTTCCGATTCTGTGTCTCTCTCTCTCTCTGCCCCTCCCCCGTTCATGCTCTGTCTCTCTCTGTCCCAAAAATAAATAAAAACGTTGAAAAAAAAAATTAAAAAAAAAAAAAAAAAGAAGACACATCATGGCCTGGTCCACTATCTACATCTAGGAGGCCCCAGGAATTATCAAAGACCTTTCCATTGCAGTGTTTCCACTCTGTGTGGAGGGTTAGGGAACATTGGCTTGGTGAGTGCCTCTTGCTTATGCCCTGGGTGTCCTTAGCATGGAGGCATGGGAACTAGAGGGAGGTCTTGCTCTGATTAAAAGGGGTTTAAGTTTGCTGCCCAAGACCAATATTACATAGCCAAGAGCACTGCTGTTTTGAGGAGGAGGGCAAACGGTGGGGGGAAGAGAGGCAGTGGCCAAGTCAGGTTTCTCAGGATCCTAGAGACCCTGCTTGGTACGGAATGGAGCAAATTCCTTGTGCACATGCCAGGCCGCCGAACCACACAGTTCCAGGGGCACCCTACGCGTGGTGTTTTATGCAAATGTCTCCCAACGGGGTTGTGCCATATGGAGGCCCTGATGCAAACCCCAATCCCAAAGGGCACTCCCAAAGTAAGCTGGTGCTACATGAGGGGGCTGAACCCCAGATTGCAAGGTATTCACAGACACTGGCTCATGAGGAGGCCACCGTCCCTCTGCCACCCATGACCTCTTTGTCCTTTATCCTGACAGCATCTGCCTCTATTTACACTAAATAGCTCCAATGCCGTTTGCTGGTTCCTGTATTTTGGGCAAGCTGAGCTGGAGGCCCCTGCAGCCGGTCTGAGCAGGTAGCTGTGCTGGTGATGGTCACGCGGAAGGTCCTGCTCTTCCAACAAAGTTTAGCAAACACCTTATCTCCCAGAAAACAGATGAGGTAATGTTTATGAAAGATCACTCTGTCCCTTTCCACTGGGCTGAGGGGTGCCAGTGTGACCAACTTGTGCCAGAAGGTGGACTCTCCTCAGCCACCTTGCTCCCCCATTCTCCTCTCCTGCTCCCTCATTTGGGTAGGAAACCTCACTTATGTCCTTTCTCACCGTAGATGGTGGGAGAACAGGACTCTCCATTCTGGACAGTCCATTCAGGACTCACCTTGGCCTTTGTGTCTCCACTTTTCAAGGCACATTCACAGCTCCCTTATGTGAGGAAACTGAGGCAGAGAGAAGTAAAGCATCTTGGCCAAAGTTACAGGCAGGGTGGTGGCTGCACTGGGGACCCAGGGTCCTACTTCTGAACTGCTTTATTTGTGATCACCATTCATTTAAAGATTCCTTATTTTTGAGATTGCTGGCTGGCTGGATGGGTGGGAGCTAGCCATAGAGACAGATCAAAGAAAGATAGCTCACAAGCAAGTAACAGGTGGAAAGATAGAGATGATTGTGTAAGTGTAGATGGTTCCTGAAGGATACAGAAAAACACCGTGGACAATAGTTGCTCCAGGGAAGGCAATGGGGAATCTGGGTGAGAGAGACTGCTTTTTATTCTTCTTTACCTTTGCTTCCTCTGAACTGTTGAAGTATTTTTCTTGCACACATATTAATTTTTTAAAATGTTTGTTTATTTTTGAGAGAGAGGGAAGGAGAGAGAGAGAGAGACAGCAGGGAAGGGGCAGAGAGAGAGGGAGACAGAGAATCCCAAGCAGGCTCCACACTGTCAGCGCAGGGCCTGAGGCAGGGCTCAATCTCAGGAACCGTGAGATCATTACCTGAGCCAAAACCAAGAGTCAGATGCTTAGCTGACTGAGCCACCCAGGCACTCCTGTACACATACTAGTTTTAAAAAATTCCCTTTTCTACTTTTATTTGTGGTATGATTTTCATGTGTTTGTCCACAGGAGAGATTGGAAGCCCACACTCCAGGAAAGTCACAAGAGGCTCTAGGAAAAGAACAGCGGTGGAAGGTGGGTGACATTCAGTCTTTGGCGTCTGAGAACCCATGTGGCTGCCCCGGTTACCTCTATCCCTGCCTCCGTTCCTGGAGGGCCTGTTGGCAGAGCAACAGCAGACATGTTTATTTCACCGGTGCTTGCAAATAGGACTGATTGGAAACCACCTATATCCCCACAACTTAGAACTCGCTAATGATCTTCAGTTCAGCTGCATAATGGAATACCATGCAGTCGCTAAGAATAAATCAGAAATCCTATACTTTCTGCGTTCGGTGTTAGATTCCACAGCAGAACAAACACCTCTTGGCTTATGCAGTCTGGTTTCATGGATTGCACAGGCTCCTTGGTTGATCTGAATGTCAACCTGGGCTGGGGGCTGCTGTTCAGTGTTTAGGGTTCCTCTGAAGGGAATGCAGAGAAATCAAGTCAAAATGTGCCAAAGATGTTACCAACAATCATGTCTTGGTTGTGATACTTTGAGTAACTTATATTATTTTTCAGTTTTTTCCTTCCATTTCCAATATGCAAATATACTTCCTAATTAAAAAAAATAAACGTTTATAAAGAATCTTGTAGATAAAGAACAATAACAGAAATCACTGCCCAGGAGGACTGGAAGGAAATAAGACAAAATGCTGCCTTTAGATGGTAAGATCATAGATGATTTTTTTCTCCTTATCTTTATATTTTTTTGAATCTTCCGCATTTGATATGTTTACTTGCATAATTGGGCATTCATATTTAAGATGGCTTTTTTTTTAAATGGGTGGAGAGGGGAAGATAGATGATGCTATTGAAAAGCCAGAGCGTCAGACTCTCCAACGCCTGTTCATGTTAACTGGTTGCTATTTCATGGGCCCCTAAAATGTACAAGTCACTGGGCTGGGGGATACAGAGGTGAAGGAGATGTGAATCAGTCAATCAAGAAAGTCACAGTTCGTTTGAGGAGATAAAACCCTTTCTGGTACAAGATACAGGGTCTCATCCTAGAGCATAGGTTATCAGAGTAATTATCATAATGCTAGGGAGAAACTTCTCTGCGTGTCTTAACCGTGTCAGTTTGGAGCCTCAGTGTCCTCTCCTGTGAATGTAGCCTACCCCACAGGATGACTGTGGAGTCACATGGAGCTGCATGTCCGGGGCTCAGCAAGGTGCTTTGCAAACAGTTCATCCTCAGCATGAATCACCATTGTCGCCATGGCTCTGGGCACCACACCTGCTATTTAGAAGTCAGGTTTACACAGATGTGACATACCTGGGGTCTGAACCCACCTTTATCTGATCTCAAAGTTAATGCTTTTGCCCCAACCAGCCACTGTATTTCCCCTCTAAGTTTGACCTAAATGTCTTCACCCTTCAGTCTGGCCAGGAAGAAGATCTACATGTTCATGAAAACATCACAGGAGAAATAAATGTGAAAGAACATCAGGGGAAGATGGACTCATGTCTTGGAGTAAGATCTTGCAACTTTGTCATTTTGTAGTTTGTGTCTCTTGGTGGAGGAGATTCCATCCACAGCCAGTGGTGGTGATCCAACACTGCTGGGCCATTCCTGGTTCCCTTGCTGTGAGTGTGACACAGGGTGCTGGTCCGCTCTGGCTGAAGGGAAGAGGGTCATGAATGGAGAGCAAGGGGAGGCAGAAGGGTGGGCCAGTGGGATCCGGGAGAGCCCCAAGGAGCTGGGCAACCAAAGCCAAGAGGAGCACACCAACTGCCCATGGGCTAAGGTCGGAAGTCTGGGGAAGCTGAGACAAAAAAAAACAGGGGTTCAGCAAGGGGCACACAGATACTCAAAGCAGAGGGGAAATTCTACTTATGGACCTTCATGGCATTCCAAAATTAGTTAACCCCTGGGAGAGGCTAAATATTGATAGTTTTTCTCCCTGTCCCTCTGGCCAACTGTCTTTTTAGGGGTCCCCGTTAGCTCCATTATAGCTCAACCCACCTCATTCCTTTCCATTCTGTTCACCCCACTCTGTGCCAAGCGCTGTTTGGCGACACCAGAGGACTGTGTGTTGGGATAAGGAAGAAACAAGGTAAACGTATTACATGACTAGTGCTGTCTTTCGGGCAGGGGCAACATGGTAGCTGATGGGCTGAGGCGGGCAGGAAAGGTTTCCAGAGGAGCAGGTACTGAGCTAAGTCCTCAAGGACACTGTGAGCAGCCTCCCAGCACATCTGAGAGAGGAGGGCGATTTCTGGAAAATACATAAGAGTGACGGATGCCCCTGCCATGTGCCTGGTGGATGTCAGCTTCTGAATTGCAGGTGTGTTCAGAGGAGATCTGGGGCCATGAGGCTACCACACAGGTGGAGTGGCCTCCAAAGGGCATTGACTGACCTGCTGAGGGATCTGTAATGAGGGGGAGAGACAGGTCTGATTTGAACTTGGCAGTGGGTGTCTATGTGAGACAATGTGGAGAGGTACCTCTGTTATCCTCGGTATTGTGTCTTCATTTGGGGGAGAAGAAATTCTAAATTTATCATTTAATCAGATGACTTTAGAAAAGTAGCTATCTAGGTGCTGAGAAAATTGGTTCATTCATTCATACTTCATTTATTCATTCAAAACAATTCTTGTACCTCAGTTTATATTTCCTACTGCTTAAATTTCTGTGGTGTCTACACAGATTGTTAAGGCATTGTTCTAATCTCAAGAACCTTAAAAACAGAAGGAGGGGAAGGTGAGGACTAACCCCATGGTGTTAACCCATAAACTGAGCTGATCACATCACCACTCATCACTACTTAAAATGTCCCAGTGGGTTTCTATTTCCCTCAGGAAAAGTACAAACTTTTTTCCAGGCCAAAACATCCCTCTATGGCCTCACCTCCTGAGACCCATCTCTTAGCACCTCCCTTCTTTTCCCTCCGTGCCAGCCTCATTGTCCTTTATGTGGTCCTTGCCAGACTGTCTTCAACCACAGGCCCTTGACACATGTTGTTCCCTCTTCCACTGTCATCTCCCTGGGTTCATGTGCACTCATCCTTCTAAGTGCACATCAATGCTGCTTCCTCGGGGTAGGCTTTCCTGGTCTATTTAAATTGACTCCGACCTTAGTACACAACTCATACTCCATATAACATCCTTCATAAGTCTTATCCCAGTCACAAGAATTTTTCATTTATGTACATGATAACTTTATTAATATCTGTATTCACCAGACTGTAAGCTCCATGAGAACAAGGGCTGTGTCTTTCCAAAAAATCAACTTTACTGAGGCATAATTTTTGTGCAACAAACACACCCACTTCACACGCACATTTCAACGAGTGTTGACAAATTTACACAAAAATGGATTCACTGTGTAACCACCAACACGGTCAAGATGGGGAACATTTCCATCACCTCAAAAAGCTCCTCTGTGCCTCATCCCAGTCAACTCTCTGCTTTGCTTCCTGTCTCTATAGATTAGCCTTTTCTAGAGTTTCATATAAATGGAACCATGCAATAAGCATTGTTGTGTCTGGCTTCTTCCATTCAACATAATGTTTTTTGTTGCTGAATACTCTTCTCCAGTTGGTTCATGGAAATTGCCTGTGTCTCTTCAGGTAAGCCTTTAGCTCCTTAAGGACAGAGGCCACATTCTTTGACACCTCTGATACTTGGTGTGGGCCTAGGCACATAGGAGACCTTTGGGAGTAGCAGAGTCCATCTTCCCTGACCCAGGGCATGGGAGTGGCCACTCTGTACCCACATTCAACAGTCACCCTGATACTCACAGTCTTCCCCTCCATGCCCACAGGCTGACCTTCTTGGGCCAGGGCTCCCAAGCACATTTACCTCCTTCAGAATCAGTCTGATGCCTCTCACAGCAATGCAGAGAAGTCCTGGGCCAGCCACAGCAGCCTGGGAGATCACAGGCAGATCAGATCCCTCTGACACTGGGCACGTTGATTTCCTTAACTGCCAAACAGAGACACTGCTGTCTACCTCACAGGGCCACTAAGTGGGCACATGTGTGTGGAAGTGCCACTTGAAGTAGAAAACACAATACTACACAGTAAGAGTGAATTTAATCATTTAATGGAATTAACAATGGCCTGTGTTACTTGGGACCCCTTTTCCCTCTCAGGATCTTCAGTTTCTTTACCCATCAGATGAAAAGTTGAGTTAGAGTTCCCTAAGATGCCTTCTGTTTTGAACCTTCTTGGATTCTAAGGTGCTGGAATATGAGAGAAAGGGCCTGATGATCCAGAATTAGAAAAAAATTTGTGTGATTTTTTAGAAAACAACTGACTTCTCTGAAAGTTCTCTTCCTGAGTAAAGGATTCAGCTCTAGTTGTGAGAACAAACCAATGTTTTTGCATTAATAGCCTTAAATCTGCCACTCTTTCCAAGCCTGTCATGGAAAGTACTAGAGCTCCTTTCTTCCCATGTGCTGGCTGGTGCTATGTGGCATGTCTTTTGCTGGACTAGATCTTTGATGGGTCCCCATTACTGGAAGAGCAGGAACAGCCTCCCCTTTTGCAAAAGCCAGTAGTTCAGTTCAAATGACTCCTTGTGGGCCCTGTCACTCAACAAAGGATTCCTGAGGGCCCAGGTGTGTTAGGGGCTTTATAAGTGTTGTCTCTCTCTCTCTGCCTGTGCTGGAAGTCTTAGACCAAAATTTAAGATGGAGAAATGGGTCAGTGAGGTGTGTAAATGATCAAGTTGGAGCTAAATCACCAGGTCCTCCTTTCTGCTCTAATAGGCCCTGCACTAGGCCCAGGGGATTCCAAAATAGTTCAGTCACACTTGAATTCTTAGAGGCCAGGAAGCGAAAGCAATAGTTTAGTATTTATTGAAGAGAAACCCAAGGCTGTCAAGGTTGTCACTAACTCACCATCTCGTTCAACTCCCTCATTTTACTGATGAGCCGACAGGGGTCCAGAGAAGTGGTCTGACTTGCCTGGAGTGATGCAGCCAGCTGGCTGCCAGCAGGAGCTGTTACCCAGGCCTCCTGACTCCCAGATTGGGGCTTTCATGGCCAGAGCATGCCCTGGGGCAGAACGGGGACTGTGGCCAGAAACAAGGAAGTGTGGAATTAGGAACAAGGCTATATTTCCAAATCACTGTCTCCAGCATGCCGGCTGGGAGCGAAGAAGAAGAATGGCGTTCTGGGAACCAGTCAGCAGAAACCATTTCATAACTGCCCTTAAAATAGTACAATGCTGTGTCCTTTTCCCGTGACCTCTGGCAGACTGCAGGACAAATCTCAGAACAACCATTTTGTGAGACTGCATTTCCTTGCTCCCCCCCGCACCGAGACCCTCGTGTCAATGTAAAGACCCAAGGACCTCGGAGTAGCAATTCCCATTTTGCAATCGGTACCAACTCCGTTTGCTATTTGGTCCCAAACCCCTTTTGTTTTGAAAAATCTTGGCTATTAGGTTGTGTTTATTAATCAGTCCCCAGTTATTTCCCCCATTCTATCATTCTCAAAGACAGAGCCTCCAGATCAGTGTGAGGTGATCAGTGAATCGGTGGACACTGGCAAGTGCCCTGAGTGCCCACCACCCATCAGGGCTCATGCCGGGTAAGCATGCAGCCATCTTGGCTCCTTGGATCTTCCCACCAACCCTGGGAGGTCGGTACCCATTTTCCCCACCTCAAGTGCAGTGAGCAGTGTTCAGGAAGGCCATCGTGCCAGGACATGGCAGAGCCAGGAAATCTGAGCCCTGAGCTGTGCTGGCAAGGCTCCCCCATTAGCCTGGGTGTCTTACCGCCATCAGAAAGAGCACGCAGGCACTCTGAGCCTCGAGCCCCTGACTGCCTCTAGGGGAAGCCCTTCTAGAGTCTGAGGTGTCTGAGGAGCTGTGGAGGGGCAAGGTAAGATCCAGAAGGACCCCCAGCCATCCCGGGAACACTGGACAGGGCCACACAGGGCTCCTCAGCAGTGGGCATGGTGACTGCTCAGCCAACAGGACACAGGCTTTGCACAAGCGGGCACATTCCCACAGATGACTCAGGAGGCAAGACGATAGGATGGGGTTTGCAAGTCAGACCCAGACTGGCCCATCTCATAGCTGTGTGAACTCGAGCCTTGCTTTTCTCACCTGTAAAATGGGGCCAATACAAGCTACCTCAGTGTTACTTCAGATGATCTGGTGAGAGAGGTGTTGCCTGATGCCTGGAAGATAGTTAGGGCTTAATAATTGAGAGTTGCCCTTCTTGATGCAGGGCGGGTGTTCCTCTGAGTCCCCCTCGGCCACAAACTTGGAATATCCGATTTCTGCTTCACCCAGAGTCTGCAGCACAGTAAGACTGTCGGCGGCTGTGACCCAGGTCATCTGCACCGGCCTCCAGAGCAGCCCTCTGTGAGCCACTGACGCCCGTTGCCAATCGGGGTAGAAGCATGCCTACTCCATGCCACGACCTGGGGCGGCCCCCATGCCAGGACAATGGTGCTGGAACACTGACCTAGAGAAGCTGACCATAAATGGGGGTAAAATGGGGGTGCTAATGGTTCAGAAGTTTGTTTTTAGGGAAGATTTAATGAGGTAATATAGGGAAAGGACAGTGCCGGGCTCATAATATGTGCTCAGTAAAACTTAGCCGTAATCATAAGAATTATTATCTCCTAGTTGCCAAGTAATATCTTATTCTCTCAAAGGCCATGTAGGGGTGCAATCATCACTTTCCCATTTTACAGATGGGGAAGTCAAGGGGAGTGGCAGGAACCTCCCCAACACACAAGGTGTAGATCCTTTCACTTGCACCCCGTGGCCATCCAGGTGGCTCTGGGGCAGTGGTGAGGTGGTGCCTTGTGCGGGAGCAGAACCCCTAGAGACTCTTCGACCTCCCTCACCCTCCCAGCCATTTCAGACTTTCCCCGGCCACTTCCAAGCACGCCAGGACTCAGGCGCAAAGCTGCAAGAGCTGGCCTCCAGGGGGCAGCAGGAGCCTGGGAAACTCTAGGCTGGCTGAACTAGGAAACCGAGTGCCACAGGCTAGCCAGGGTGCCCTGGGGGGAATGCTGACCGGCTGAGGGCCATGCTGCCTGTGCCTGGAGCTGAACTCAGGGCTGGGATGCAAGAGAGGGGGAGGACGGGAGGGCACTGAACTCAGATGCTCGGCCTCCTCCCGAAATCCGCTCTCCCTGGCCAGCTTGTTTCTGTTCTGCTCAGTAAATAGAGGCTGCACTGATCCAGGTGCCATGGAGGATTAAATGTGCACATTCCCAGCCCTTCAGAAAGTGAGGGAGGCCAGTGCAGCCTGGGGAGTGCAGGACCAGGGGGTTCAGGTGGGGGGTGTGGGGTGCATCATGACGGAGTCTGTCAGAGAGGGCATCTTCCAAGCCACCAAAGACCATGCAGAGACCAGGATGTTCCTTAGAACTGCACATGGACCCCTCTGGCCTCTGCCTAAGGAACTTGCTCACCACCTTGTGGTTCTAGGGTCCGTGAAGGGCCAGATTCCTGGGCCTTCCCCAAGCCTTGGAGTCAGAAGGTCTGTAGTTTTAGCCAGTTGTCCAGGGGAACTTTGCGCAGGCTCACATCTGACAGCCTCTGCTCTGAGGCCACAGAAGGGATGAATACAGCTGTTTATTGATCTCTCCTTGCCAGGCCCTGAGCTAAGTGCTCTTTAGATACCATTCTATGTATTTCCCCCCCTTCACAATATTCCTTCGTCTGTTCTTTACAAATAACGACCTGGACTATGGCTCAGAGAGGTGAAGCGATGTGTCCAAGGGCACACAGCACTTAGTACCTGAAGCAGGATCAGAACTCAGGGCAGGGTGGTTCTAGAGCATGCCTGCTTTCACTCTCCATGTAACCAAGCATGGGTTAGAGAAGCAGCAAAGGCTGTGCCTAGCCCATGGCCAAGGGAAGGAGCCAGGATGACCTTGGACTCAAGAGAGGGGCCTATCTTGGACTCTGCAGCTTGGGGCCTGGCACATAGCAAACACTGAAATGCTTCGACTTCTGTTTTTTAACATTTGGAGATAACGGGGAGAGCAAAGCCTTCTGTTCTCCCCTCCAGCCCGGTCCCTGCCAGAGATGGTTCTGTCCTCCTGGTCAGACCAGAGTCCATGTGGCTCTGGTCTCGAACCCTGTGCATCTTGGCAGGAAAGGGGGTGGGGGTGGGAAGAGAAGGGTCTGGGTCTAAGGTTCCCTGGCAATCTGTTTTCCGACTCCTGAGCTCCTTGGAAGCTGGACCTTCCAGATCTATTTCCTTCAGTGTCATTATCTGAAACATAGATCTCCTGCGTCTGGTCTCACTGGCAGTTTGCAAGTCTTCTGTGAGATCATGTGGGAGGAGAGAGGCCTGCAAACCCAGATGCGCAGTTCAAATGTCTACCATTACTCAGGACAACTGCTCAGAAATTGGGATCAGTGTGGGGCCATCAGACGATGACCATCTCTCTACCCCACTAGTCAAATAAGATTCAAATAGTCCACTGGAATGGGCCTGTGGCGGCCTCTAGCTCTGTTAGTTTAGACAGCCTCTCTCATCTGTGCCCCCTCACCCTCT